GTGCAGGTTAGATCTGAAGCGTGTAGGCTTAAACAGTGGAAAGCGGTTGTGAGCACATGTTTCTACGTATGCCTTGTAGAAAAAAGGGATTGAAAAAATATGTTGGCGTATCATAATTTGCACTGCTCTTGGAAGGACTTCGTTTAACGAATATTTGAAATGAGCAGCGCTTTAGTTTAGAACCGATAACGTTATAGTAACCAGATTTTCACGATATCCGGGAAGCGAACTGTCAGACTTGAAGGTAACTTGACGCATTTACTCGGTTTATTCTATTTTCCATGGAATGCACAACATCAAACTGGTGTGGATATTCACAAAGTTAAAAAACGAAAGCTACAACAATGGTTATAAAGGATCCATCTTGGCTTCTCATTTTCAACAGTTATCCATTGCACTCTTTCAGCCGTTGCATCACTCGAACGAGGAACAAGTACCGCTGAAAAGATAAACATTTTACCTCTTCGGGCGCGAATGCCGATTTTACTGTCCTATAAATATTAAATAAACCCTGATCCCAATTTAGTAGACAAAATTGAACAGTCCATGCTGGACAGTTCAATCCGTAGACAGATGAAATGTCACAAAAGATCTATATCTATGCACAACCTAAACTGTGGTTAAAATTTACTTTAAAAAGCATAGGTATTACTGATACTGAGTTCAAATATAGCAGTTAGTGAATGAGGCTTATTCGAACCAAATGGGAAAACTATTTTATAAAATTGTCACTTATAAAAATATTCTGACTTAGTAAAAAATAACATAACGGATTTGACGTACGAACAGTGGATTTGTGTTCCACCGTGTGGGGTCTGAGGTTACCGATCACTGATCAGCTGTCGCCGGTTTCTCGCGGGCCCTAAGCGCTGCGATTTATTTTTGATTCTCCCCACCTGCCTCCCTCTGACCTCTTTCCACATCAAAACGGCAAACGTATCATGTGCTACCATTGCACAACAATGCTGAACAACTCTACAGTATCTCGTTTGAAATTGCTGGAATTGCACACGCCAGGTTTTAAGTATATTTAGGTGGCTAACCTCGGTCAGAGATTGTTGCATACAGTGTGTAATTGTGTCGGTGTTTGTGTGCTCTCCGAGCTGGAAGTGTTGTTCGCAGACGTTTCTTAGTCAGTCTAGGCAATATCATCCGTACGACTTCGAAACGTCTGCGAACAATACTTCCAGCTCGGAGAACGCACCAACACCAACATTCGCATCCCGAGCCACAGACATTCCACATCATTTCCAACACAATGTATAAAGTTGTGTATCACTGGATCCTTTTAGTTTCATCTCAGTAGGGACAGGAAAACAAGCACAATTTTTATTGCACAATTGGGTTGACATTTTGTTCATGTCAATGTGTCAGAACAAAATAAACTGAACTCAAGGGTATTATTGTTATGATGTTTATCTCAGTCCGGATTATATGAATCATGGGAACAATAAATTCTGTAATACATCATATGTCCTTTTTGCCCCAGCTGGATATCCTCTGTGAATGTACCAAGTTTCTCTTCCTTAGGAAACAGTTGTGCTTCGACGAATCAGTTGCGAGGAGTAAGTCGTTTGAGAAAAGCTGATGATTTTCCTAAAGCCTATATTGGGTGAATTTCTGTATGAAATTTACTACCCCGATCTAATTGCAATTATTAAAGCTAACTTGGATCCACAAATGTTTTATCTAGCCAAACGATTTTTTGAATAACACAGCGTTGTGCAATGAATGGAAGAACAGGGTAAACTCCACTGGTGGTCATTGGTCTTACATCATAACCGGCAACATAAGCCCTACGATTTGGCCTATTTAACAACATACAGCCTCATTAGAATAGACATGGTATTGAGTTAGATGATAGGCAGACGGTTCACGGAGTGTAGAATATACAAAGAATGACATGAAAAAGGGATGAAAAGACTCGAAAAATGAGGAGCGTATACTTAGTACCAGAGATTAGATTAATCGAATTGCTCATAATTTACTAAATTGAGGAACTCAAACACGAGAAGCGGCAGAGGTTTGAATAGTATATGACGCAATATGTCATTGATGCAATACGCTTGTCAAGTGAGCAGTTTCTGAGCTACCTAAGGGACCTATCATAGTCAATAAGCTGATAACAGAGCGCAGAATGAGTTTAGAGTTCCGCGACTGAATCACAAAGTTTCATTGATCTTGCAATCAGTTTTTGGAGATGGTATCACAAAGAAAATCCTACTCTGTGGCGGACAATCAAAACATTTAGTAAAATCGTGTTTCTTGAGAAAATAGATGTTTTCGGTTGAAAATGTATCAACTGCTATTTGTCGAAGTCTGTCACGTGAAGATTTTCAGTAAAAGGAGCTTTTCTGGAACTAATCTGCAATGAACGGAATTTTTTATCATTTTGAAAATATTCCTACAGCTGTAATTTAGATATGATTAATAAAAATACAATGAAAATGATAAGAATATCAAAATATTTGGTAACATCAAGCTGAACGACATTGCCATCGCTTAACTACGCTTAACTTCCTCCTTTGGTCAAGGTGCTAA